CGTCCCGGATACAGAGGAGCCATTAACCCACAGCCACTCCGTCTTGCCAGGGTTCAGCTGGAGCCTTTTGTTCCCCATCCAGACCCTCACAGCCTCTAGGCACTGCGAGAGGGCGGTCACGGCATCACTTACCTCATCAGGGATGGAGATGTATAGTTGAGTATCATCAGCATATTGATGATACCTCATCCCATGTTGCTGGAAGAGCTTTCAGGGTCTTTTATAAATAACATTTTATAAATATATGAATATAATTATTTAAATATAAAATTCTAAAATTTTATACCAATTTACCCTTATATTATAGCTTAGAGTAAATTTTGTTGATTGTTTTCCATCACTCTTCCCACTGATCCACTGTGATGGCTTATTTGAAATTTTGCATTCATTTTAACATGCACCTTTTGATTTGCGCTGTCTTGGTATCCTATTTTGGTAACAATTTGTAAATATGTCCTAATAACTGATCCTGGTTTTGTATAAGGATTTCAAATTCTGTTATCTTCCTCGAGAAGTGGAAAGAGCAATGGATACATTGGAATTTCAGCAAAGACAATTAAATTTAAGATTCAAAGGCATACCAGAACATTTCAGAAAAGGAGATCTTGAAAGCCATTTTAAAGCTTTGATGCAGGAAAAAATAAATGGAGATTTTCTAGTATATTTTCAGAATAAATTCCATATTTGTATAAAGAATAAAAGTACCTCAGGATATCCTATATCCTTGTAAGATTTTTTTAGAGAAAATATGCTATTCAACAGCAGATTGAGATACCTTTAATTATAAAAGGGAAGCAAGTTCAAATATTTCAAGAAGTCTCTCCTAGAATGTTGACAAAAAGGAGAGATTTCACATTCTTTACAAGAGCACTAAGAACCAAACAAATCAGATACAGATGGGGGATCCTGTTTGACAAATCAGTTCAAGGGAAAAAAGGATGAAAGATCCCAAGAAAGGTCTTCCAGTGTTCAGTGGCTTTGACAGAAGCTTGGAAACTAAAAAATCCAGAAGTGAGAGATTTTACCACTATTCTTATATACATGCTTTATCTGCATAAGCTTTACATTTGTTTTAAACAGGACTATAGTTCCTCCTTTATAGTTAGTGAGCAGAACAGATTACTTGTTCAATAGAATTTTGGTCAATTAACCTATTGGTGTTGGCTTATCCTTATAATGTGATTATGAGGTTATTATTTTGATATTATTTATTATTTTATAACTTTATCAGATTTGGGGGGTTCAAATGAGGTGAGCCTGATTGTCTAGTCTGTTGCTGTTTAGGTCATGAAACTGTCATTACAACATAGAATGGAAAACAAATCTCCCAGTGGATTGTGAAATACGCCTGACTTCTAGGACTTTCAGAAACAGAGCATACTCATTGGTCAGCATCCTACTAGTTTATCATGAAGATATGTTTTTGTATTCTCAGAAGATTTTGATTCAATCATAATAAAAGTTTAATTTTAGCACCCTTAAATAAGGGTTGTACTTCCTTAGGAGAGTGCAAAACAAGACTTTAGAATCTTCTATAAGCTGGTGCATTTATATGAAACAAAACAAGTATGGTTGTGAATTCTAGATTCTCTATAGGTAGTCCCCGGGCTTATGGATGACACATAATTAAGAATGGAGCCTATTGTAGCAAAATTAGAGTTAAATACACAATGATTCGAGTTAAATATATAATGACTCAAGTTTAATACACAATGGTTTGAGTTAATTACACAATACTACTTATACCGTATACAATAATACTATTCCAG